AAAAGATTTGCTGTGCTAATTATTATGGGTATCCTTAATGATTTTAAACTGTAAATATCAGAGTGTTTATCCCAAAATTTCAGAAACAATAGGTTGTAATTGACTCTGGATAGCAGTATCATATTAATATTATATATAATAAAGATTTTCTTTTGACTTAAAGACTTAATTATAGCAGATGAACGGGTATATTTTAGTCCAGTAGGTGCCGCTCAAAGTCAGGTCTATCTTAGAATATGATTCAATTCTTGTGGTTTCGCAGCCGATACAGACCAAAAAGTCACTGGTTCTCGGTGTGAGCAGTCGTCTGGGTGAGCAGTAGTATACGGAATCTTAACGAAAGAAATGAAATAAACTTAAAGAAATGCTCTAGGTGATCTAAGAAATTTATTTAAATAAATATTAAATCCGATGGTATTTTAGTTTTGATTGTAGAATCCAATAGTTTAGGAATATACGAGTACATGTGGTAGGTTTTTAATGAGTTTTGGACTTCATTTAAAGATCTATTCGTCAATGCCTATGATAAGTACTTCAGGCCATTAGTCCAGCTAATTTTCTCATTTTTGGTAACTAAGAAAAATTCGTGAATGTGAATATTAAACATTAAAAAAATTATTTAATATTCGAAGCAGAAGTAAGAAACCAAGAGTTTTTCTTGTTGCAGCAGTTTTCTCAAACAGGTGTCGCGCACAGACATTACTCAACTGGATCACCTCTGTTATACTGACCCGTAGCTAGGCTTCCAACTACGATGGAAATCATATAACGCTAATGTTGTCAGGAAAATTTTAATATTAAAAAAAACTAATTTTTAGTTATTTGAACACTTGAAAAAGGATTGGCTCCTTCTTAGATCCCCGTCACCGGAATTATTCCCGAAATCACATACATCTTTAGTAAGTAAAAGAGTCGCTGCTACTGATAGGTATTTAAAATCCATATTTTAGTTCCTTCTCACGATGTTGTGAAGTATTCTTAAATGTGGCAATTTTATCAGTGGACCCCCGCAATGAACAAAACTACAAAACCGCGCCTTGCATACATATATAAGTATGTATGCAGAGTATTTATATGAACTCTTATATACGAGTTTATTATATATTCTCTATCATAAACCAACTAAAAAGACAGGAAAATAATGGCCGGTGTAGCGTCGGTGAAAGACATATCAAAATGTACACATGTATCCACGTATGTACATACATATATGTATATATATAATTAACTGCGTCTATAACACTTTACCAGTGGCATGCGTCAATATGCGATAAGTATGATAAACATATTCGTGTGCTTCAAAGAATATATATATATACATGAGGGGTTTAACAAAAGTTCGGTCAGTTGATGACTTTCAATTTGTTTTTGGTAAATCTAAAAATACCAAACCCTATGCAATTACTCCGTTAGTCTTCCTTTCAAATTTTAGAAAGATCGGCTAAAATGCAGACGAGAAAATGTAGGACAGTTGAGGATAGGTCAGATGAAATTCCACTTCCAAGGCAAACAGAAATTCACCATGTGTTTCTCTTCGTGTTTCGTAGTCATTTACAGCCAATAAAAATATTCAAGGACTGCCAAATCACATATGGAACGATTGCACCGACTACAAAGACTACTCTAAGTGGTTTCGAATATTACAGACCGTAAATTTTTCCGTGGAGGATGAACCTCCTGAAGGCCGACGAAAATCTTTCACTAATGACGTCACTGTAGCTCTGGCAAAGTCAAATTGACGCTTGAATGCCATGAATATAGCGCGAATTTAAAGTATTCATCTGGAATACACGAAGAAATCTGTTCGATGGGTACCACAAATTTAAAATGAGGCATAAAAGGAAGCTCGATTGCATTTGGCTTAATTTTTTAATTTTCAAAAATGGCCAGTCTAGCAACTTTAGTAAAGTCGTTACTGATGACGAATCTTGGTTCTATAAGTACGATCCGGAAACCAAACAGCATTCCATGGCATGGAGCTCAACAGCCCCGTAAGTTCTAAGCAACATAAATCAGCGCCAAAAGTAATGATGTCAGTTTACGTTACCCGATCTAAAATCGTAGCTGCTATTCCACTGGGAAAGAGTCAGACGGTAACTGTAAAATAGTATACCGAAGTGTGATTAAAAAAATTTTTTAAAAAGTTTTTGGAAATCGAAAAGAAAAAGGCTAAAATAACGAGTCATGTTATTGCGATCTCTGGGATTGAAAATTTACGTCCAGCACCACATTCCGCCGATATAGCACCTTTGAAATTTCTGGTTATTTCAAAAAATTTGGAAAAAAACTTGAAAGGAAAGGTCTTTAGTAGTAACGAGAAGATAATTAATGCGGTTCAAGCTGAACTTGATAAGCTTAAAAAGTAAGATTTTGAAAACTGTTTTCAGAGAGATGTATAGGCTTAGGAAATGCTTTGAAATCAATGGCGATTATATAGAGAAGATAAAAAAGGACAAGAATTACGAATGAATACAATTTTTTATTTTTATTATTTATTATTTATTTATTTATTATTTTTTATCTGGTCAACTTACCGAACTTTTGTTAATACCCTCGTATGTACACCACAATATCTGTATACATATATGTATGAGACTGTATGGATATTGTATATGCGTACGTATGTACATATTATGATATATATTCGTCAATCGGTCATGTCATTCGTTTCGTTTGGCCTTGAACTTTACATTTATAACTACCTATGAACGGATATACATACATATATATCTATATGCATACGTGCAGTAACTTTATAGTTTTACTACTAATTTGTCGCTTTTCTTTTCACTATTTAGTTTTTGAAATTTTTTTAATTTTTTATTTTTTTTTTTTGGCTTGTAGTTTTGTGGCTTTTGTGGTTTTATAGCTTTCGCTTTTGCTCAAAATGGTATATGTGTCATGTAAAAAGTATATGTATTCTAAGATTCTAGTCGTTTTTTTTTTCAATTTGCTCAATATGCATTTGAAATTCTCTGCAATACGATTTAAACTAATAAATTTTCCTTTTTCGTTCGGATATGCTTTTACTTTCGAACTAATTCAAGCTAATTATTCAAATCGATTTGCTTACGACTGCTTTCACTATTATACTTCTGTTGATATGTATGTATGTCTGTATGTATGTATATAGATATGATTGAAGATATATTCTGTTGATTACTGATAATTATTTTCAACGTTAAGTTCAAGGTGTGTCATCCACATTGCTGCCGCCGTAGCAGCTCCTGTGTAAATACATACAAATATATAAATGTGTAGATAGTCTTCAGTCTTTGTTAAGCTAACGCCCCGCAACGCAGTGAGCGTAATTAACATAGTGGCCTCGGTAGAGGTTAGTGAACATTTTTACTTTACCTTTATTTGCTCACTAATGTCATACTAATATATATGCATTTGTATATATGTATATCAACATTGCGTTTTTTGTTTATCTATTTCGGAAGAGTTGAAGGAACTAAGGAAGTCAATAGTGAATGACTTTGGTATTCAATGTCAAACAAAAATCAAATAAAATTAAATAAATTAGAGAAAAATGTAGCGTATTCAACCCCACACCCTCCAGCCCAGTAGAGTTCACTAAACTATTGAGGGTGCAAACTATTTCAGCTGGTACACAAGAGATGGCTCCATGTAGAGGTTTTTGTCAACAATAAACAGTGTGCTCCGGCATTTATCCTTTGACAATAACAGTGATTTTTTGCCAAAGGATTTGAGGCAAATTCTAATTTTCTATATTATTTGGAAGAAATTTGCCGCTGAAGCCCAACGAATACTTGTAGAAGCTTATAATGAAACTGCGCCAACCGATAAGTCATGCAGAGAGTGCTTTCGTAGCCTCAAAAGTGGCGGCCTCAACGTCTAAGACAAAGAACGACCGGTCCAACCCAAATAGCTTTAAGATGAGGAATTAGATGCTTTACTGGAATTAAGATCAGCCCCAAATGCTAACTGAACTCACAGAATCGGTTGGAAGGTAGTCAGCATATAATTTACGTGCGATTAATGCATGAAAAATAAACGGGAATGACTGAAAGCAATGAAATGTTAAGGCAATTTTGCAACATGACAATGCTCGATCTCGCATGGCTCTAACGGTCAAAAAGTACCGGGAAGCGCTACAATAGAAGGTCTCCCCCACACGGCGTATTCTCCAAGCCTTGCCCTTTCCAAACTATTGGCGTTTTCGTTGGCAGTAAAATGATTTTGAAAAACTTTCGGTGCCGGCTTAGTATAAACTGTAGGTCCCTCTATTTGTTGGAAAAACATCGACACGCAAATCCACGAATTGGAGGTTGAGCTCGGCTCGTAAATCGCTTCAGCGGTTACAGAGCGCCAATAATATATTCGAAAATTACTAGAGCAATTTAAAAAGTAGTCATTTCTGACGGAGAATACTTTGAATGTTGTATTTTTCCTCTTTTTCTTAATAAAATTACTTTTTTGAATACAAAAAAGGATCGTTATTTGTACATCCAAAAATTTGCTTTTTATGATCTCCTAGACTGGAAATGGATGCAACTGATTTCGAAAAAAAAAATTTTTTTTTAATTTTTTAATGAATTTAAATTTTTAACTTAAATTAATTTTCATTTAGTACATAATTAAATTAATTTTCAATTAATTATTAATTTTTACATCTGGTTATTATTTTTAATTTAATAAAAAAATATATAATCGTGAAAATTGAAAAAGTCGTTTAAATGCGGCAATTTTCATATTTTTCCCTTAAAAGCGCCCTCTAGTGGGGTTTTTGTTCAAAAACTGCAGATATAAAATTATCATATATGAAATTCTATATAAGCACCTCTTTGCTGCAAAATTATTTACTTTACAATTAATTTAATTTTTACTCATTTTTAATATATCTCCCTGACCGTCAATTTTATTGAAAAAAAAATTAGAAATCGCCAAACTAGAAAATCCGAGAATTTTTTTTAAACAAGTTTTTCAGAAAAATTTTCTTACATTTCACTGAAAATGTCTTTAGAATATTCTATAAATCTGCATTAAAATTAATAGCTTCGCTCCCTCTTTCTCTCTCTCTCTTTCTTTCTTTCACTCACCTCTATTTTCGCGGAATAATCCTCGATGAGTTTTTCATGTTGTTTCACCAATTCTTCATTCTTCTCCAACAACGCTTTACCCAATTCGGCAGCTAATAGTATATCCGATTCTTTTTGTTGTAATTGTGCCCACACATCCACTTCGGAATGTTGACGATCTAATGCCTTGGAACGTGCCTCCATTGCTGTTATATAATCCTCTAAATTAATTGAACCAATACTTGAATTTGTATGAAAAATGTTCGTTGATGAGGGCGATGACGACGACGACGACGACGACGTCAGCGACAACGACATTGACGACGGTGGTGACGACGACGACGACGACGACGACATCAACGTTGTATAATTATGCTTTGGATTTAGCAAAGCGTTGTGCTGATGCTTTTGCTGTTGTTGTTGATAACGATTATGCATCGTTGGATCATCACGATCGCGTTCGGCATAGAAAGTTCTACGATTTAGCCGAGGTTTATGCATAGTCGTCAACCCAAGCGCGCATTTTGTACACGTAGATTTTACAGTTACACCAAGTATGAATAATTTTTTATTTTATTTATTAATTTTTTTTGATGTTTAGTAATATTTTAGATGTTTATGTTTATGTTTAATTAATGATGATTTGAAGCGTTTGTGAGTTAAACGTAAAATGTTTTTTATTCCTTTTTCGGTTTAGTTATTTATGTATGTATTTGCTTGTACATATGCAAGTTGAACCCTTGAATGAAATAATTTTTATTTATAAATAAATGTAGATGTAGATGTTAATGATTTTTTTTTAATATGTAAAGTTTTTTGTTTTTGTTATATTACACGCACTCTAGCGGCATGACAATTGTACACATACATACTTATATAATATAACATTATACTTAGAGATTTGGTATATAATGTTAGACCAACACCATTTAGTGATACAATTAATATGTAATTATATACATATCTATGTATGTGCTTATGTATTGCTTATTTACAAATTATTAGTGCAGCTGAAATGTTTTTTCTCTCATGCGATATGGTGTAACAAAAAAAAAACGGAAACTCTAGAGCAGTGGACTATTTATTGCCTTACATTACGTGTATGCAGAGAGACAATTAAAGAGTTGGACTTGAAATAGCAAAAGTGTGCAAAGAAAAAAACACTGCAGTCGAGATGTTTCTTAAAAGTTCATTTGCAGTAAATTTTCTTGTTGCATATTGAAAAAACATTTTTTTTTAGTTAATTTCAATCAATTCACATTCAGGTAGTGAGAAGTTGAAAACTGTTCGTATCCTTAATGTCAACAGTATTTAAGGAAAAATATTTTGGAGTGTCACAATTTGTGTGGCTGCGACTGAAGTGTTATTCAGCAGAAAGAGTTATGAACGCCACACGGCTTTCGCGCCGTATTACTCAGCTTTTTCTTTATAAAATGCAGAATTTGCATCATACCAACAGCCATAATCACTTTGGTGAAAGCTCCGTTTTTTCAAAATTGAAACATCTCTGCTATGTACAGTGTGTCTGCGGATTATATACAAACTGCTAAATCAAAAAGAAAAATATAAGTATAAATCGCTCTGGGTAACACACAAGAAGTTGTAAAGAGAAAAATGCAAATACAAAAGGAAGAATTGGAATTGCACATGAATGGGGAGAAACCTAAGAAGCCTTGCTTACTGCATTCTGCTGCAGTTTTAGTTTCACCTATAGCTGTTGTTTCCCTATTGCAGTTACCGTTGCAATACCCTTTAGCCATGCTGTTTGTGGGGTGACGAAAGGTCACATGAAAATTTTTGCTGAACCCAAGCCATGTCTTTTTCAATTTATACTGCTTTTTACTCAACTTCAATTGCAACTCTTTGCAGTGTTGCAGTGACAAGGAGATTTTTTTTGTTTTTTTTTGTTTATTTTTTTGTTTTTGCTTTTGTTTTTTTTTTTTGCGCAAACAAAATTGCTTAACTAAACGATCCATGAACCATTTGTTGGCCAACAGTGAGTGTTTAGTTCCACTTGGTAATAATGATACGCCTCTTTAGCCTCCTCCACCTGCCACGCACACACACACACACGCACACACACACACACACACATACACACCCTATCAAGCTGGGTAGTGATTGCTTGCAGTTGTTATAATGCATAGTTTTTCCTGCTTCTTCTGCTTTTTATTTTTACTTACATGTATGTTTGTATTTGTGCATGTATGTATGTATGTATGTATGTATGTATGCATGTGTATTGCAGTGGCAGCGCTGAAGGTCAGCGTACGTTAAGCGGCTTTTACTTGAATATTATTTATTTATACATATGCAATTTGTAATGTAATATAATATGTGCATATGTACGCATGTAAGTACATATATGTATATGTCTGTATGTATGCATGGCAGTGCAATAACATTTTTGAAGTCATGCTAAGTTAACTTTGCTATTGCATTTACTATGGTTTTTAATTTTGTCAAAGTGTTGCAGTGTCGTTTTCCGCATATATATATATTCCTATTTTATATACATACGTACGCATATAGCGCATTGATATACGCCAGATGTATGTATGTATGTCGGTGTAAGAGGCAAGGCTTGTGATGAGCTTCAGCAAAGAATTGTAAAAAACAGGCTGGTTTACATATATAAGGACATATATATATATATACAATAAATGTATATGCATATAGTTTCGTATTTGTATATATACATATATATGCTTAAATGTAGGTGTTTATGTTTTACTTTTTACTTCATATCAACTCTTAGGCGAAGGGAATGCACTAGTTAGTGTTTTATTTACATATATATATATAAGTGATGTGTATATTGTATATTAGTATATATACATATACCTACAAGAGTTAGTAGTGGCATGAAATTTAGTTAGAGTTGTGACTGCATGCAAAGTTAGTAGAGCAAATAAAACGAACNGAATTCGATCCGTTTTTAAAACGAATCATAACTGGAGATAGAGCAAATAAAACAGACATTTGTAAGAAGCATGCATGTACATACATATATACCATATGTACATACGTATATTCATGTAAATATGTTTTTGATTTAAATATACATATGCATATGCGTATCTACATAACATTCGTTCATTCATATCAAATCAACACGCACAAAAGCTTGCACACTTGGGGGCGTTTACATGCCAGCAACTGACTACATATATATATACTACACATAAATATAGTTATATGTACATATGTATGTATATATGTGTGTGTATATTTTTTTAAGTGCAATAAAAAACGTTCTTTGAGCATAATTTGGAAAATGTTCCATTATTTTTTTCTAATATTTTGTTGGTTAATTTTTTTTTTAATTCATAATTTTTTTTAACATTTCAATTATTTAAATTCTTAAATGTTTTCTTTTTTTTAATAATTTTCAGTTTGTTTTTCCCCCCCAAGCGCGCATTTTGTACACGTAGATTTTACAGTTACACCAAGTATGAATAATTTTTTATTTTATTTATTAATTTTTTTTGATGTTTAGTAATATTTTAGANTTTTTAAAATAATTTTTCCATAACTGCGCTACTTTTACCGTTCTACCATTTTATCTATCACTATCTATTTTATCTACTTTGGTGTGCACACTTCTCTAACTACTGTGTCTTCCGCCTAGTGCTTTTACACGCCACCACACGCCGCAACACTCTTCACGCGTTGCTGACTTTGGCCGCGTGTATGGTGTTTTTTTTTTAAATATAATAAATATATTTTTTTTTTAATTTTCTTTCATATCTTTTGTTTAAATATACATTTTTTTATGTTTTGCTTTTATTTTTGTTAGATTTTATTTACATTTTTGCTGCGTTATTTTGTTTTGCCATTGTAATTTTAAGCCGTCGTTGTTGTTGGTCTTGCTTTTGTACTTACTGTTTTTATGGTAGCGTCAAACCGAGGAAAACTTATTTAATACACATTTTCAGTTGTTTTTTTATTATTATTTTTAAATGAATTTATATAAACTAAAAGCTTTTTAAGGACGCCGCCACGCCCACTTGGTTTTTAACTTCAAGTTTCAAACATGAATCTTGTGCAATGCTAAATTTTGAAGCTCTATCTCGGCTGTAACAGCCGAGCGGTTAGCATTGCTTACTAACATTCGGGTGGCTATGCTTCGGGTTGTGGTTCGCCCAACATCCAAAAATTATACAAAATTAATTTTTCTAATTGCGGTTGCCCAAAGGCAGGGAACGTTAAGACTTTTCTGAGAGCAAATTAAAGATTTCTCATAAAAATCCATCTGCCGTTGGGAGGCGGCTTAGAATAAACTGTAGGTCCCTTCGTTTGTTGGAATAACATCAAGACGCCTATCACAAACTGGAGGAGGCGATCGGGAGAAAATTGCTCTAGCGGTTAGAAAGCGCCAATTTTACATATATATTAGGTCTAGTAACAAGTAATCAATTATTTTGGCAAAATATAGCTTCAGTGGTTTGTGTCTTGCCTTCTATAAACGCGATTGGTTTACGTTATATGGACTTAGAAAGCTAATAATTTAAACTAAAAAAGGTGGTAGAAGAAGCGTGGATCACTTTACTCAGTAGTGTTTGAGACCATGTCGAAAATGGTACGCCAGCGAAGAGCGAATACGCTTTATCCTATAATTTCTCATCGATGATAAAGGCGAAAACGACTTAGGGAGTTGAAAATGTGAATCGTTTTTATGGACCCGAAACTGTGACAGTCAATCATATAATAATCGTAAAGTCTGACTATCATATCAGCACTATTTTGATTGCCCAAGAGTTAAACATTGCACAAAAAACTTTTTGAAACCACTTGGAAAAGACGGGTAATGCAAAGAAGCTCGATGTATGGGTGCCAAAGGCGTTAACGAGAAAAAACCTCATGGAGGAATCTGCGAAACGCTGAATCGTAACAAAATCGACCCCTTTCCTGAATGCAATGTAGGAAACTCTAAAATTTCGGCGTGTTGAAAATTTCATTCATTGAAAATGAGACAAAATTCAGCATTTAATGGGAAAAAGACTGTCAAATATTTTAAAGTTACTGTAATGTACTTATGAATGAATCCCTACCCTTTCTTGGTGGATTTTTATGCAACGAAGTTCTCACGTACGTGGGAGTTAGCGATCGTGTTTGGGAGAAAATTCTCAATTTATTGATGAAGCCTTAAAAGGAAGACAGTGTCAAAATTGGTTTCGCAAATTCCGTTCCGGAGATTTTTCACTTAAAGATGAGCCACGTTCAGGTCGGCCAAATGAAGTTGATGATGACCAAATCAAAGCATTAATCGAATTGGATCATCATGTAACTGAGCGTGAGATAGGAGAGAAGTTAAATATACCAAAATCAACCGTTCATTATCACATAAAAAGTCTTGGACTGGTGAAAAAGCTTGATATTTGGGTACCACATGTATTGAAAGAAATTCATTTAACACACCGAATCAACGCTTGTGATATGCACCTTAAACGCAATGAATTCGATCCGTTTTTAAAACGAATCATAACTGGAGATGAAAAATGGATTGTTTACAACAACGTTAGTCGAAAACGATCATGGTCCAAGCATGGTGAACCAGCTCAAACCACTTCAAAGGCTGATATCCACCAAAAGAAGGTTATGCTGTCTGTTTGGTGGGATTGGAAGGGTGTCGTATATTTTGAGCTGCTTCCAAGGAACCAAACGATTAATTCGGATGTTTACTGTCAACAATTGGACAAATTGAATACAGCCATCAAGGAGAAGCGACCAGAATTGGTCAATCGTAAAGGTGTCATATTCCACCAGGACAACGCTAGACCGCACACATCTTTGGTCACTCGCCAAAAACTGAGTGAGCTTGGCTGGGAACTTTTGATGCATCCACCATATAGCCCTGACCTTGCACCATCAGACTACCATTTATTTCGATCTTTGCAGAACTCCTTAAATGGTAAAACTTTCGGCAATGATGAGGCTATAAAATCGCACTTGGTTCAGTTTTTTGCAGATAAAGGCCAGAAGTTCTATGAGCGTGGAATACTAAATTTGCCAGGAAGATGGCAAAAGGTTATCGAACAAAATGGCAATTATATATTTGATTAAAGTTCATTCTAAGTTTTATTAAAAATGCATTTACTTTCTTTTAAAAAATCCGTAATTACTTTTTGGGCAAACCCAATAAATATATTTTATTGCATTTAGATATTGTGCTCTTCGTGTATATTTATGAATTATATACAATACATTTATGCTTAAGTGGCGGGTACTTATGTTTTAACAACAGAATTTTTATGCATAAGCAAAGTCTTCTTCTTTTTACACTTAAATTTATTTTTAAATCAGATTTATTTTGTTTATTTTATTATTTTTTTCTTTGTAATTTCCTTTCTCGCTCTTTTGTTATTTCGTTTCTATGATGACAAATTTACAGAATGAAATTATTTTAATACAATTTTTTATATTTTTTTGTTTTTCTACACTTTCACATTTCTTTTAAATTTTATTTCAATTTATTGGCATACAAATTTTTGGGTTTACACAGCCACTTTTCGGTCCAAATTTTTTTTTATTGTAATTTTTATTATTTTATTATTTTTTTATTTTCTTGTAATTTTAATTTAATTTATTTTTTTTTTTTAATTTTTACGCAACCAACTACTATTTGAGTGCAGTTAAATCGACTTTCATACAAATATAAATGTAAGTACATACAATACATACATATGTATGTACATATATAACACAAAAACAAATAATACATTGGTACGTGTCACTCGCGGAAATTCTGTTTTACTATTTCAACGACAAAATTTATTGACAAAACAAAATCGAAGTCAAAAAAGCTGTTATTTTTTTTTGTTGCACGCTACCAACAACAGCGACGACAGCATTAAAGCATATGAAAATAAAAAAATAACAAAAATAAGAACAAACACATATATATGTATATAACTTAGATTTCGCAATGACATGCACTCTATGCTTACTTTTCACTAAAATGCTGTGTTGTTGTAGTTGACGTTGATTTTCACCTTTTCAGTTGCAAGCACAAAGAAAAAAAAAACACACTTCTTGCACACCTACACTGCAGGTCTACACTTTAAACACAAATACACACGCACACACACTCAATACGAATAGCTCGCGCGGTTCTTTATAGAGCCCTTTATAAGATGAGACTTGCAATTTTACCCCCGATACGTTTTCATAAGACAACTGTTGTCAAAACCGAAGAATCAACCGGGATCACGGTAAAAAGAACTTCCGACAGTGTCAACAATAGATCAACGTTTTTGTTTTTTTTTGTATATTTTATTTGTTGTTATTGCTTCTGGTTTAGGTTTATTGTTTTATTTTTGTATTTTGTTGTTGTTATTGTTACAACGAACGTAAAATTTTCATCCGCCAACACTAACTGTCGCCGCAAAATGTTCGATATTAACTGAAATGGCAAAATTCCGAGACCAAAACACAGCCAAAAACACCGACAACACGCGCACTCACACATACAGACCCATACGCATATATAAAACGTATATACACATATACACGTACACGTGTATAACATAACCTTAGAGAGTGAGTAACCAAGTCAACCGTTGAGTTTTGGTTTAAAAATTCTACGAAACTACCAACAAATGTAGCAAAAGCAGTCATAAAGCACACGCACACACGACCATATAAAAAGTACACACACATATGTACATACCTTACCAACAAAATAATCAACGAACGTATAAGCAACGAAGCACAGCGCTGGCGATGAGCACTTCTCTTGTTGGCTTACTTAAGTTTTACTAGCTTATTTCACAAGCCGAGAGAGAGCGCATATTAAAGTCAAGAGAGAGGGAGAGAGTAACGGTGAGCGCAATACGGTTGTTTCTTTAGTTAGCCAACTACAGGAAAGCACAGGTGTGTTGCTTGGCTTAGATAAATTTACGTTCCACAAAGTGGCTAAAGAGAGAGCAAGAGAGCATAGTAAAAGTTAATTTTGCAAAAAAAAAAATTTAAATCATTCATTTATTTTATTTACAATAAAGTGTATTCAATCAAAAAGTAGCACCGACGCTCGATAGTGTTCAATTTTGTTTTTATTTCTGGATTTTAAGATTAAAAAAATATTTAAAAAAATTTTTAGTCTTTTTTTAAAGATATTTAAAAATACAAAGATCGTTTGCAATACGGATATTTGAAGTCAAAAAAAAAAGGCAAAATTATTTTAGGTTAAATTTTTTTTTCAGTTAGCATTAAATTGAAGGCTTTATTTACCATAGTTTTGCTCGAGTTTTGCCTCTCTCAGAGAAACCCTTGTTTTTGTTGCCAAATAATTGGGGCAATAGATTTCCACAGGCTTCTCCAGAGGCCAATTTTCACCGGTCAAATCATTTGCATAGACAGGAATCTAGTAATCACTTGTTTGCGAGGTGGATAAAGAACCTTCCAATCAAGCTCGCGGAACTTCTGGCGATTCACGATCGTTGTACAATCAACGCGTCTGAAGAGAAGGGACATACTACTCTTGCAAAGAGCGACACTGACGCAGCAGCCCATTCCTAGTCAAGGGTTGATTATATTTTATTGTATTTTTTTTAAATTTGACAACTTATTGAGAGACTTTTGATATCGAAGCAGATTCAGTAAAACACAATTATCCTCCGGCAGGTCACAACTAGGCGCTTCCTTCCAATTGTGGTTCGAGTACAGAGTTTGGCCGCTCACCAAACACACAAAAAAACCTTCCTGGCCAACAATTCTGGCTCGGAGACCTTTTGTGCCTGCTCACAGCCCTTCGATCACGATCCTTTTTCGTTTGACGTTGCTTTAAGTGATTTACTTTTCAACACCAGTCACCATCCCTACAGTAATGGGTCGTTGCTTTGAATATCCAGCCTTTTTCATAAGGCTCCAAACTGTTTTTTTCTTTTGCAGTATTTAACTCCTGGGCAATCGAAACAGTGCTTGTAATTCGGTCAGACTCTACGATAATACGTGAATGAAACTATTTTAACGACATTTTTGACAACTGGCCTTGCACACCGTGGAGCCAAATATTAGGGTCGGTGGTGGAATCTTCTCGAAGGAATTGGTATTGCTACCGAATCAATGTAGTGCTTTGAAGCGAAATTGGCGGTCATTAATGAATTACCGTAGATCACTTAACGCGAAGGCTGAGCAGTTCTTTGATGGTTGACGAACTTGCAAGGAAATACACTTTTCTTGCACCAGTTGTCATTCTGGAGGTGTTTGGACATTGGTATTTTCTCTTGTAACCTGCCTACAAGAGAGTTATTTATCACAGATGTTGATTCCAGATAGAAGAGTCTAAACTATTGCAGTCTGACCAGGCCGACATGTGATAAAAGAATGTCACTAAAGCTTATCCCGTTAAAAAAACGATTATAGCTCTACTTACAGGACATCTCCTAAGGAACAGGCACACAGAGCACTTGGGCGTACCATCAAATGTTTTCTAAAGTATGTGTGGGTACGCAGAAGACCATGAAACTTTCACTTATTTTGCTGAATGTCCCGCACTTCAGTGGAGTAGTAAAGTAAATTATGCTGGGATGCAAATAAGAACCCTTGTCACTCCTGTAAGGCTTATTAATCTGCATATACTCCATAGTCGTAAATATCCTTTAAACGATTTTATGATTTATTCCACCGGCTCTGAGTTCTTTCTGTACAGAATACCCTCTAGACGAAAATGAAAAAGAGGTCTCGAGGATGAAGAGTAAACCATTTCAATCTATACCGATCAAAATGGACTGCACGAATGGGGGCACGAATATAATTCAAGAATCTTGGCATCTCTCTATAAGTCTACCACACTCCGATATTATCTCCCAAGCAGAAGTCGTACTAGGCATACAAAAGATCTCCAGAACTATGTTTAATAATTACGGAGGGAAAGAGAAAGCAACCACCTACTCGAAAAGCCAGGACTCATAGCTGATCTTCTCAATGCCAGCGGTAGCTAAGCTCAGAATATTCATTATGTTTTACAAAAGTGAGGCTCCCATTTAAGTAGAAGACGTAGCTTCCTTGTTGCTGTAGCGGCTAGCAAAACTAGTTATTGTCGTCAAGGGACAGGGGCTTAAATTAATTTTAGAGGGCATGCAAGGAGGTGGTGGAGGACTTGTGTGGATATATCAGGGTCTAATCTGAATAGGTATGAATTAAGTCGACTAGAATGTTCAAGATTTAAAGGATCCAGTATTATTTGGACTTAATAAAATTGTTAATTAACTCGCTGTGTATGGCATTAGGAACCAACCCGTCAGCATGGCGTCCTTTCCAGCGGATCAGTGACATAGTGCTGAATAGAGCTCTTGGGCTTGAGTACTTCCTTCCTGATGTGCCTTGGTGGTGGTTCAGTTTCCAAACAAGTTTTGTTAGGATGGCCCTTGCGGCAACACCTCAGAAAATATTGTACACACAGTTAAGTCCAGGTACGTAATCTTTAGCTGAGAGCATAGATGTTTACTGTGTAAGTGGTGGGTTGGCGTCTTCATTTGGTCTGCTTTCACGATCTGCAATGCGATGTTGTGGCAGACTTGTAGTTTGATGAACTGTGTATCACTAGTACCTGGCGTCCAGATCGGTGCAGCTTAGCTAACGACTGTCCCTGGATGCTGCTTGGTAGCGATTTGAGAGTTTTGTTGCAGCTTTATACTTTTTATGCCCTCGTCTAGCTGGTGAAGCGGGTAGAACTGCAGAGAGGTCAACGTACTAGCAGTGTACTTTCGAACAAAGATTAATCCTGGCTAAACGCCATTTTCGAAAAGTCACCGGCATAAGAGATCTGGGAAACACCCTCTGGTGGTGGTGGAGGGAGCTTCGAAATGTATATAAATAAAAAGTGGTAAAAGACAACACGCTGCAGAACCTTATGTTTACATTGACTAAGCTTAGAATTTCGATCTCAAAACTCTACAGTTGACTGTCGACGACGCAGATAGTTTGTGGTCTATCTATCTCTTCAAAGCAGCGGTAATGAGGATTTCGCAAATGCCCAATGGTGGTACTGCAAGTTCCGTTGTCCTCTACTTCTATCAAATCTAACAAAACTATCACATACTTTCATACTTGCAAGTGGGACTCACCACTGTGCAGCCAACTGCATTGCCATTCACGTGACGCTTATTACCTGTTGTTGGTCATTGGCTCATTGAAATTCAATGCGAAAACAGACACTCACACCCTAATGCCCTTCCTCCATATCCGCATTACACAATTACAAACATCTATGCCGAAACTTGAATTTTCACGCTTGATCGACCTTATTCTTAAGCGAAAGACGGTGAGTGGACCCAGTTTTACTCTTACGATTTTTATTATTTATTTATTTTTCATTTTAGCTTTAACCAACTTTACCGGCCTTAGACAGTAACGATTTCATCGTCATCATCATCAGTAGAGTGTGGCCAGCTGAGCAGAGCGTGCTGGTGCTCTCTCACTTTCAACTTTGCTGGAAATCATCACTCTCGCTCTCTAAATCATTGTGCATTGTGGCTTTTCGCAAACATTTGTTTGCAAGTCGGTTCTCAGTATTTGCTCCACTCGCCTGCATTTTACATAATTGAGTAGTGGCTGGCTGGTTTTAATTGAGTAAATATGTACAAGAATGCCATTGGCCATAATATAATTTACTCAATAATTTCTTGGTTAATTCTCTGCAATAAAAAGGCGCCTTTGTTGTTGGTAGCAACGAGTGGTAAATGGGTTCTTAGTTGTGTAAATGCATCGTATTTTGGTGCCCCAAATTTTTCTTTAGGTTTTTTTTTTTTTTGATTTAGTTAAAAAAATTTTTGTGGAAATTTAGAAAGAACTTAAATTGAAAAGAAAATGTAACGGAAAAAGTGCTTTCCCACAGTTTAAAATTCTTTCACAACTTAAGCTATCCAGTTGTGAAACATTATAATATTTAATACTAAAATTTAAACTAATATACTATTATACCCATCTGCCAATGGAATTAGTTGAAATTTGTTTCGAAACTAGTGTAACATGCGACTCCAACTACTTAGCCAAATGACATTTTACATTCGAGAAATGATTTGTGTTTAACACGGGGATTGTTTACATAACGTCGATAGATATATAATATTACCATCAAAACGTGCTAGTTCCGTACTAGTGCAAAACGGAACAGTTGGTTTTTTCAAACCATCATTTGCCTTATTTGTTGTGGACATATTTCTTTCAAAATCATACTAGTACTGCGGACTAGTTCAAACCGGACCAGTTGATTTTTTTTTTAACCATAATTTGACTTTTTTGCTTAAAAAAGCTGCAAATAAAATAAATTAAAAAAATTTATAAATATTTAGCACTAATCTTTTTTTAAAGAATTTAATCTTCTTAATATCGCTAAAATTTGTTAAGTAAAGTGCAAAAATTTTTCACCTTACTGAGTCATATTAAAAAT